AGAGGAAAAAAGACACACCTGTGCCTTCACACAGCTAACAGCATTCTGCACAAAGTTCTACATCTGGTTCAAAAAAGGAATTAGAAGGAAGACAGCACAGAAGCCTGGGGAGTGCAGACCCTAGGCAATGAAAGGAGGATAATTTCAGATTCTGGAAGCCACTAATAAAAATCAAAGCATCGGGGCTGGAGATTTAGCTCAGTGGCATAAGCGCCTGCCTTGCAAGCAGGCAGTCGTGAGTTTGATCCCTGGTACCGATAAAAAGGAAGGAAAAAAAAAGAAACAAAAATCAAAACATCAAGGTAAAGAAACTAAGCTGGCACCATTCAACGGAACCAGAAGGTAACAGACAACAGATAACAGGTAGGGAGATTAGCTAAGAACTATTTAAAATAGCCCCCTAAAAATAAATAATAAAAATAGCCCCCTAAAATTAATTAATTAAACAGCCCCCTAGCAGGTCTCTCCACCTCTATCTCTTGCCTCACCAAGTGCCATTGGTTAGCCACCTTAAAGCAACTTGACTAATGACATGCCCCTCCTCAGAAACCCTCACTGGTTCCCTGTGGCACAGGAAATACAATTTCCATTCTTTCTACTATTAATACTATCTGTCTACATCTGCGGTTCACTTTTTGCCTGAAGATGTGTCTGGACCCTTTCTAATACAGTGTAAGGATAGTACTTCACTATCGGTAGTCAGTTGATGGTCATCCCCTGACCACCCTAAAACCTCTAGGGAAGCACAGAAGATATGTTGTCATACCATCTGTATTACACAGAACAGATTATTTTCTGGGTAATTCCACGCCTACCAATCACTAACTGTAAAAGTATGAACATATTTTTAATCCCTTCGAATCTCAGTTTCCTCATCTGTAAAATGAGAGACGAGGATGGTAATTCTGACTACATATGGCAATTGTGGCCTTTAAATGAAACCAGTACTTAGTATGAGGCTAGGGCCAGAGAAAGAACTTTAAATAGCCTATTAGCTCTTCTCATAAGGCCAAAATGCATTTTTTGTAAAAAAAAAAAAAATGCAGGAACAAACCTCAGTGCTAAAAGTTATTACTGGGGAGCCAAAGATACTCACTTCCAACTGGCTCAAATTAACACTGATGTTGTTTCCCTTGTACAGATGACAAAAAACTTCCTTTTTCATTCCTCAGTCTAGTCCTCAGCTAATCCTGAAATTGCATGCAACCCAATGTGAATCAAATAAAAAAGGAAAATAGTAATTATGCTGAATAGAACATTTTATATTTGTATGTTCTAACTAGAGATCGAGCTGCATAAGCCAGCACTTTTACTAAGCTCTTTTTTAAGCATATCCAGGAGTCAGTTCCTTTAACACTTGGGCACTTTCTAGCATGGCAGGCTTTGTAGCCCAATGAGACCTACTCCACAGGTGACACAGGGAGTCCAACTGGTTTCAGTGACGTAAGACCTGGAAAGCTTATGGCAAAATCCAAGCTAGCTACTTAAAGTGAGGAAAGGGAAATGCAAACCTAAAGACACATGCTGCACACAGGTACACTGCTCACACACATAAATGGGAACAGAAAACAAAAACTCCCAAATCACAACTATGCTCACACAGCTCCTTACTATCACTCAGTGTCACTGTGAAAGATACTTTTGACCAGCTCAAGAATTTTAACCAAGTGTCTCATGCTTAAAAAAATAATTTCAGCAAAGATTAGTGATAAAACAGCAATTGTACATCCTTTGTTCTGTCTCCCTGAAGAGACAAAAATGAAAATAATTAGACTTTTGGAGTTTTCATTAGTAATTTTTTAACTAAAGAACTAGCATTATTTAGTACTTTAGTCCCAAATCACCTCATTGCTTATGTGTGCTGGGGATTAAACCCAGGGCCTCACACACGCTAAGTACAAGTTATACCAATGAGCTATACTCCCAGCCCCTACTTTTCCTCATCTGTAACACTCATATGGTACTTATCACACTCTGTGGTATATTCCAATTATGTGTGCACATTGCTTATCTCCCTACCAGGAAAAGTCCTGGTGGCAGAGGCCCCTCCTCCTGCTCCCATGATGCCAAGCACAGAATACTGTGCATAGCAGACACTCCAAAAAGATAGGACTGTTAGAGTTGGGGGGCCAACCCTTTGTATTAAAATCCCTTTTGACCGTGACATGTGGACTCTGAAAAGCACATAAGTCAGGCCATTAGGCAATGCAGGACCTCAGGTAGAAGACCTGTCTTCAGAGCACATCAGATTATCCTGATTATGATCTAAGAGATCCCTTCAGAACATGGACTACTCTCTAAATTTGGCCAAACCTTTAGAAAGCAAGTGCAAGGTCATCAAGAATTAAACCTTAAACTTGGATTATGCCTGGGGCCAATGAGTAGGCACCTGTGCACTGTTCCCCTGCCTAGAAAATAAAATTTCTGAAGGTTTCATATTGAAAAAGCGTAAGTCTCCCTCTCTAGGAAAAGTGCCTAGCAATTAATTCATCAAGATATAGGCTGAATACAGTTAACTGAGTATCCCCTCCCCAAATAAGCAAAATTATCTGAGTGTAGCTCAGTAAAAATGAGGCTAATATATGCATCTAGAGAGGCCAGGGTGATGGTAAAGATTACCCCTGTTTCTATACTAGCCGTCTAAAGGTATTTACTTGGGTCTGTCTGTGTTGTGACAGTGTCCTAGACTCAAATGAATGCCTCTAACACTCCACATTTTTGAGCCATTCAGTCATGCATTTTTGTTATTGTTGAAAGTGGTGCGAAATTGCACTGCATGAGCTAAAGTCCTTGGTGGTCTTCCAAGGATTCCAGCTAAAAAGGCACTTCCTTTGTTCCTCAGGAGAATGCAGTCCAGTAGGTCATTCAAAAGGGGAAATAAAAGCAGCAGCCCTGGGAGGGAGATGAAGGACAAGACAAAAAGAATAAAATGTTTTGGGTGTGAGCACATTAGCTTCCATTTCCGGCTGCTGGTCACTAATAACTCCCCTATCTTTGGTGGTGGTGGGGTGTCCAGGTAGACAGTTACCAAAAAAAAAAAAAATACCCTTCAGGTGCTTTCCAGGGTTAGTGACAATCAAAGGGAATACCTAAGATGTGGAGTTCCTAAGCAGCTTCCTTGTCCCTGAGAGACTTGCTGGTGGAAATGTCCTGCCACTTTTAGAGACTGCACAGAACAAAGTTGAAGAAACTGGGGGCAATGGGGAGGACGATTTCACAGCCCACTCCCTAAGTGACTCTAGTTCATCTCAAAGGCACATACTGTTCTGCATGAGAAGATGAAAACTTCTCACTTTCCCATTAAAGTATAGCTGCATCCCACCTTCAAAAGGTGGGAATGACAACTGTAACCTTCATGCCAGTCACCACCACTGCACGCAGGCCCAAACTGCAGGGCACAAGGACCTAAGGTCTGACCTGTGGAGTCCCCAAGCTTTAGGGACTGCTGGTTTCACACTGACTGGTTCACTTTTTCGGGCAGGAGGGAAGAGGGGAAAGAAAGACGGCTTTTCAGGGCTCTACAACCAATAAAATTGTCAAGCTGTGAGGACATACTTGAGTTCCAAAAAGCCAAACTGATGAACAGCAAACAGTCTTTATTCAGTATGCGAGTTAGTTGATAACTGCCAAGGTGCAGTGGGTGCTCGGGCTACTCCAACAATTTCTTTGGTTCTATTTCTAGGGAGAGGCTGGTTACACTCCTCCTCCAACAGTGCCGACAACTTCCCTCAATTACCTTTGTAATTTATATGCAATTGATGACTGCACTTAATCTCCAAGGTTATTAATAGCCCTTCCAAAAAATGACCCCCAAGTCTTCCTAAGCCTTTGGAAGCGCCTAGTTAAAATTATAGTATTTCCTTTGCTGGCTGCCGGTCCCCAGGCTGCCCCACCCGGGCGACCAGCAGGGCGAGGCAAAACCTCACTTCCAAGAAAGGTTCGGAATGGAGGCTCCACTTCCTCACTCCTCCGTTAGGTTGTGCTGGACACCAGCCAGCTAGATTCGAGGCTCTTCCTGAGCCCCCAGGGTAAACAGGCTACCTGCGCCGCTGTGGGCCCCAGCGCAGTTCGCCTTGCAGCGCGCAACAGTTGGCCCTTGCGAGTCAGCGAATGCGACCTGGAGAGGACCCGCCTGGGCATAACTGCTGGCCTCGCAGCAAGGGGCGGCGTGCTTTCTGCCGCTCCTGCTACTCCACAAGAAGGCATTACACAAATACCCCAGGCACCCCTAGCGCTGAAATCCGGTGAACTTTTTCAGAGGCTAAGCCGTCTTCATTTGCATAACCATCTCCAAACTGAGATTCAGGTTTCCTGTAATCAGTCCTTTCAAGGGTCTGTAATTGAATGTGCAATTAACCCTTAAAATGAGGTGAGAAGAAGGGGGGTAGATACCCTTCTTGTCCACACCTTCCGGAAAGCAAGAGTTTCCAAAAGTCAGGATTTAGAGGGGTGGGGACTGCAAGAAGTCGTTTACTTTTTAGAGGCGACTTCTAAAGCCTTTGCAGCCACTAAAACTCCTAATCCGAGTCAGCGGTGTAAGAGGCGAGGCGAAGGATTTTTTTAAAAAACATCAATGAAACATCAAGTTCCACGTAGTGCGTCCCCGTGAATCTGCAGGCTCCAGGTTTCCCCCACCCCCACCCCACCCCTTGTCACCCACAAAACAAAGCGGGGTGCCCAGTCAGGAGTTCAACCCGGAAAAGACCAGCGAGCAGGTGACACACACTTTCAGGGCCAGAGTCTTCCGTGGCTCCCAGAATCGAGAAGACTGCGGAACGGGGCGGGGGGGGGGGCGAGTGCGGGAGTGGCACTGGGTAAAGTGGCGGCGCCCCTCCACTCGCCGTGCCCGGGAGCCGCCAGGGCTGATTTGCCCTAGCGCTCTCTCCTCTGCCCTTTGCTCCCCATCAGCTACCTGGGGCCGGGGTGGGGTAGAGCGTCCGCAGCCCCTTCCGCGGGTGCAGTCTCTGCATCCCCCTCCCTTAGTGGGGGTTCCTACCTACCGTTGATCTCGTGCAGTGGGGCATCGTTCTTGTTGAATCCTTTGGCCACGTAGAGACGTCGCACTTCCGAGCAACTTTTCGACTTGAGCTCGGCAGCCAGCAGCGCCACGCTAAGCACAGCCAGGGTGCAAAGAAGGGCGGGCAAGCCGAATCGTGCCATCGTGCGGGCCCCGGCGGACGCGCTCCCACCTTTGGGCTGGGATGAGACGGATGGGAAGCGGCGCTGCGGGAGCAGAGCTGACCGGCCCGAGGGGCGCGGAGCAGGGGCTCGTGAGTGGGAGTGAGATCGAAGGAGTTGGAGTTGGTGGAAGAGGAGGAGACGCGGGGCGAAAAGTGGAGCTGGGCCTCGCGTCAGGCAACGGTCCCCGGTGCCAGGCGCCCGACCCGGGCAGGAGGAGGAGGGCGTGAAGGAGGTACGCGGCCCAAGGGAGCAGCGACGCGGGCCGGTGACCGCAGGACGGCGAACGGGGCGCGCCGGCCGGCCCGCCGGGCAGGAACGCGTGGAAGGTGGCAGGCGCCGCGGGACCGCGGAGGGTGTGGGCGGCGTCGGCGGGCGGGCGAGGGTTGCGCGCGGCTCGGGCTGCCCGGCGTTGGTCCTCTCGCCTGGCTCACTCGGCTCAGCTCAGTCTGCTCTCGACCGCGCTGCTGTGCCCTTCTCAGCTCTGCCGCTGATTGACTGGCCGGCTAGCGCGGCGACGCTCCACAAACTTGGCCAAGCGGGCGGCACTAGGGGGAGGGGAGGGGGCGGGCGGCTGGGGGGGCAGAGACAGGCGGGAGCACGCAGGGCCGGGCCGGGGGAAAACCTGGAAGCCGGCTTGGATCCGGAGCGGCCAAATCCACTTCCTAGGGGGCCGCACCGGGCGCTGGGCTCCCACGTCTGACTCCTCCCTCCTCCCTCCTCCTCGGAGGCGGGGAGCCCGCCCGTCACCCCCACCCAAAGAGGAAAGGACCGTTGCTCCCGGGCCCGCGTCCTAAAGAACCGGACAACTTGGGACTTGCTCCTAAGCCTATATTTGAGCCCTAGGCTTTCCTCGCTGGGCCACCTGACCGACCGACTTTCCAAAGCCGCGCGGAGCTCTCCCACCCAGCCTCTGGGGACGCCGCTAACAGCCGAGCTACTGGGCAGTGTGGAAGGTACCCACATTGCTCCCATTGTTTTCCGGTAGGCATCAGAGGGATTTGGGACTCCTAGCTGGCCTGAGACCTTCACCTGGTCGCCCCTGAGCTGCTTGCTTAAACACTGCCAATGCAGCTCCCACTAGTCCCAGACCCTGGTAGGCACGCCTCTCCCGTTCCACACACGCCCCTCAATCTCCAGGTAATGGGGCAAAGTCTGGGTTGATTGGGTAAACCTGCAGACCTGGCCCAAACCTTACAGGTGTAGGTTAGGAAACTGAAGCCCCATTAGAAAAGCCTCGTGCAAATAGCGTGCACCCTGGGGGAGGTGGGTCCAGAACTTGGTAGGCTTGATTCCTCTGGTCCCAGGGAATATCAGCAGCTCAGGACTCCCAAGCTTCTTGAGACTGGCACCCCCCTGGGATCCAGTCTCCACTTAGCCAGTATAAAATCGGGAATGAGCAAGTCTTCCTACCTTGCCAGCTTTGTCAGATTTCATTAATGAGTGTTTTTGAAGCTCCCAGGGCTCCTTTAATGAAGGGACCTGGGCAGATTGGGAACTTGTCATTACTGTTGTTATTGTTACAGTCTGCTTTAAAAGGTTAGGGTGAGAAGTGCCTGAGACACCTCGGGAGTGTGCTGGGAACTGGGCAGATAAAAAGGGCTGGAACTTATTATTTGGCTAGACTCTCAATTCCCATAAAATTACACAGGGTGAAGATATGAACCATCATTACAATTATCGCCCTCAAAGGATTTGTTGAGACTTCCTCCGCTGTTTGTAAACCACGTTGACATGGTTGGCTCTAAGGAGCTGTGGAAAGCAGTTTAGCAGTTTTGAATGCCCACTGCAGACTTGTCTACATTGTATTAACTTTTGGAGACCCTCAGCATGAACAAATTGTGACCTCTTATAGCTGGAACTTTCCATTTCTGTGGGTTCACAGAACATTTAACTCTGAAAGAAAGAAAGCAATTTTTTTTAAATATGCAAACTCAACTACCGTTGAATTCCCTTGCCATTTTCAAGGGACTTTGAAACAGTCCAGGTTGTCTTTAAACCAATAGGCATGAGCTCCTCAAGACCTTGCTAAGGCTTAACCCCAACACTGTTAATTTTCATTAATGTATTAAGATGGTCTTCACCGAGGAGAATATGCCACCAATATTAATAATAAAATGAAATCCAGTGACCATAAGAGAAAAAAAACAATTTTCCCAAAACCATAAGGGTCAAATCAGAAAGCCCTTTCCCGGTCCAAAATTAGCTCATTCCACAATAAATGAGTCCCTCACCCTTACTCCTGCTCTTCCTCTTAATGCATTATTAACCAAAACTTGAGCCTTTTCCACCAGAAACAGTCACCTCTGGCTACAAATGGATCTGAACAAGTCTGAACTTTACCAGGAAAAGTAGGAACCCCAAGCCCTGCTTAGAGGCGGTGCCCACTTCAAAGCCTTCTCTCATTTAAATACAAACAGGGTGAACAACTGGCAATCTACTAAACAATATCATCCAGAAGGGAAGCTGTTCAAATGGCTCTAGCTCCTTCTCCCCTCTTCCCTTCAGCTCTTCCTTTCCAAAGAGGCTCCTCTGTAGAGATGTAACCACTCCTTCTAAATTCTCTGAATGCCAAAAAGGGATTGGAGGCTGTTTGCAGAATGCAAGATTCTCTAACTTCTCAGGCTAGTTAACTCTCATCTGGCACACTTTTGGCTTCTTTTATTATGGTAAAAACAAGAGTTACCATCTTAAAAGTGTACAGTTCGGTGGCATTTAGTAGTCACATAATGTAGCCATCACCATATCTCCTTTGAGTGCATTTGTATAACCCCCCCCCCCCGCAAAGAGATCACATATCTATGAAGCATTCAAATTCTATTCCCTTCTGATCTACGCCCCAGTAACCAACCATCAGTCTGCACACTTTTTCTGACCTGTTGGAGAGCTATCCTCATTGCTAACTATTGGGATGAAGGGTCAAATCCCTATGGATTTGCCTATTCTGGACATTTTGAACAAATGAACCATATAATATGGGCCTCTGTGTCTGACTTCTTTCATTTAGCACAATGTTTCTAAGGTCCAGCGATTGTGGTAGCATGTACAGTGGTACCTTGGTTCATAAACTCGATTCTCTCCACAATTCTGGCCATAAACTGAGTCAGTGGTTAGGCTCCATGTTGACCTTATTGGGGAAATTTGGTTCACTTCTTATCCACTTTGGTTTGCGACCAGAATGGTGGAGAGAATTGAGTCTGTAAATCGAGGTAGTACTGTACTTTGTTCCGATTTGTTGCTGAATAATATTCTATTGTACAGATGGTCCACATTCAGTCATATAATTCTTTACAATTCACAAAGTACTTCCAAGTACATCCTCATGCTTTAGGAAATTGCAGTTTTTTAGTGGCCGGGATATAGCTTAGTGATAGGGCATGTGTTTAGCATGTCTGAGCCTCTGGGTTCAATCCCTAGCACCCAATACTCCTAAAAAATAAAAAAGGAAATCGAGTTTTTAAAAACTAAATAAGCAAACCACGTGTCAACAAGGTTATATGGCTTGTGCACTGTGACAGCACACATGAGTGTGAACCAAGACTGAAATCTAAGGTCTCTGACTAATCCCTTAAAAACGCTGTGCTCTGGGTCTCATTTAGGGTTAGCAATAAATGTGCAGCTCTCCTAGACCCTGCAGAAGTGTTCTTGCTTGAAATTCATAACTTCACTGAGCACATACTATGTGTCAGATGTTTCTCAGTCTAAACAGAGTGAAGATATAGTATAAGTCAAATGGAATTGACAGTTTGATGCACTGTATGCAGATGCGTGGATAGAATACACTGGTGTGTTTTTGCACAAGTGAAGGGCTTCTCTTGATGTGACATGAGACTAGGAGGGTACACTTGCTGGTAAACAGAGGGAACAAACAATGTACTCATATGCTGCTCTGCTCCATGCCAAGACAGCCCAGTGGTCAGGTCTTTCATAGCTTCGGGGGCACTTTTTCTGGCCTCCTGGGGAGTATCCTCATTGCCAACTATGGAGATGAAGAGTCAAAAGTGATTTCGTGAGCCAAGATTGGTGGCATGCACCTGTAATCACAGCACTTTGAGAGGCTGAGGCAGGAGGCTCACAGCTTCGAACCCAGCCTGGGCAACTTAGTGGCTTAGTGAGATATTGTCTCAAAAAATAAAAAGTGTTGTGGATGTAGCTGTTGAAACAAAATCAGCATAGTTCATGCCAAGGCTTTGAGTTTAATCCTCAGTATCTACCCCACCCCACCCCCCCAAAAAAAAAGAAGAAGAAAAGGAGGAAAACTTCCTCTGTTAGGACAAGTGTAAATTGTTCTCTACCATGCCATGAATTCTTTGTATTCTTACCCTAACCCTTCTTTCATTACCCTCCAGTGCTGGAGAATCAAAGCCAAGTCCATGTTAGGTAAATATTCTACCACTTAGCTACATTTTGGGCCTGGTTTTAAATTTTGTTTTGAGACTGGGTCTGGCTAAATTGCCTAGGCTAGGTTTGAACTTGTCAGCCTCTCTGCCTCGCCCTCTAGTAGCTGTGATTACAGGCATGAGCCACTATGCCCTGCCTTGAACAATTCTTTCAAGGTATGTGCCTTGAAAGTATTCTCAAGACTCAGTTGCGATGTCACCTTTTCTGGAAAACCTTACTGGATTTACTCAAGCAAAACTATTGGCTCCTGCTTCTAGGCCTCCAAAGCAACATGAGTACTACACTTGGTCCTCCTCAGAAGCTGTACTTTTTTAGAGGGCTCTTGTAGACTTTATTTTATTTGCATACATTTTACCAACCAGAGAACAGGTTCACTATGTAGATATTTTCCCAAGAGAATAAAAAGGGGGGTTGGGGTTATAGCTCAGTGGCACAAGAGCCTGCCTAGCAAGTGCAGGGTCCTGAGTTCGATTTCTGGTACCAAAACAAAAATAAAAATTAACAGGTATTTAAAATCTGATTTCTAAAAGTTATCATCGGGGCTGGGGATTTAGCTCAGCAGCATAAGCGCCTGCCTTGCAAGCACGTTGTCATAAGTTCGATCCCCATTACCGATAAAAAAAGTTAACTACTTCAAAACTCTTAAAATTTTGTTAGACAAACTCAGCATGTGTTGAGCCTAAATTTCACCTAGTACTAGCTTTTCTGTCTTACCCCATGCCTCCCTTTCAAACAACCAAAAGCAAGCTATGTTTTCTGACAACTTGCTCTGAACAACAGCTGGTTCTGGGCTGGGAATGTGTGGCTCACAAGGCATTGGGTTGGATCCCCAGGGCTGAAAAAAATAGAAGTTAAATGAAGACTCCATAGACCACAGGCCTTTACAAAACTCACAACCTACTCGGGGAATAGAACCTATATGTATATGGCAAAGAAAATACAAGGCAATGCTTGCTTCTGAAAAGAGTCATCCCAGTTTGTTCTCTATTTCATGGCAACTGAGGGGTCTCCGCTTAGTCCTAGAAGTGAAATAGTGACAGAAGTAGTGGACTGTCACGATTTATAAGAGATGGATTC